AATTAGGTCAGTCGCTATTGGTGTATCTGTGTCAACCAGTTATCCTGGTAATATATGAAATGTACTATGGACTAGTTCAAATGACGTGCAACCAATATCTTCTTTGATGTTTGAGCGAATTCCAAGAAGTACGAGTAGTAAAGCGTCAATTCACTTCGATGTATCAACCTGTGCCATCAACGAGATTTTCATAATACACTTGTAGGTATTTATCATCAATTACCAACTACCAAACAAATCTGCTGATTTTGAAAGATCTTTTGTGCAAATCCACTCTATCCCCTTCGTTGTTTGTCACTATCCAAATTTCCACATTGCTGGTATATAACAGAACAGAAAGCTAGGAAAATCACTGCTGGAACTGTATCTTGTAAAACTCGATTATCAACTGTTTTTCACCCAAACAACTGGAAGTTACCCCTTACTGTTTGAATAAGACTAAAATGTCGTTTATTCACTGAATCAAATGTATTGTGGTCTCAATACTGCTAAACTTATATAATCTCGTATCAGGAGCATTGTTAAATGCCTTTATGAAGTCGGTGAAGGTGACATCTATGGATTACTTTTGATCCCTCAACATTAGTTGTCCTTTTTGTGCCACTAATTCAATTGTGGTACACGAATAACTCACTGTGATGTCGAGCTGATTAAGTCTGAAAATATGTTGTCATTGTTTTGCGTAAGTTGTCGAGAAAGCGACTAGGTATGTGGAAGTAATTTTAAAGCCTAAAAAGTTCAACGAGCAACGGTATATCTCATTTGAAATATTGTCAACTTCAAATTACAGGCTTTTATGTTAAGCTACGTTTTTCACATCTCTAGTTTTGGACAATATTGTTGGCACCAAGTTGATTTTGTAACATAATTTTTTATCGTTTCAGCTAATCAATTTGTGTGCTCTCTAACTGCACAAGCTAAAAGAGCGGGGATTATATTTTTGTATCGTAAAACCAATTCTACTTAGATAACGGTTAGATTTCTGATTTTCTGCATTTGGAAGGGATTAATGAACGGTCTTTACCTTGACCAACATAAATGTCTGATAATTTGATGGAGTTAAACCCGAGTAACTAGATGCAGAGTTGATGTTTATGTACTTGTTTTTGAGCTGAGCTGAGCTGATTGTCAGAGCTATTGATTGCGACCCACCCATACTAATTAAATTAAACGAGCCTTGTGCTTCTACGTGACTTAATACCTATTAGTTGTGGAGTTATGTGTTCAAGTTATAGCTCAGCAGTTTGTTGAAGTATCGAATATATTTTAAGTAGTGTTTTCTAAAGTATTCCAAAACTAATTTATAGTAAAATGTAACTGGTTTTCGTTCTTGAAGTTTTCTGTATTCGAAATTCACAAGTCTATGATAACCTATATGGGCTTTACATAGCATCAGCACCTACAATTCTCTATGTGTCATCTCCGTACACGAGAACTATCTTCATGTTCGCATTGAAGATTCTCATCTCGATATTTTTCGAGAATTGTTATGAGTTCCATATGTTCTCCATTTGTAAAAATTCTATCCTTCCTTTGCCAGTACTCGATTTTACGTCTGCATTTTGTCCTCCATGTTCATCGATGATGCTCCCTATGTATGTAAAAGGTTCCACATCTACCACAGCTTCTGCATTATGTGTGACTGGGTTGTTCTCCGTGTTGTATTTCGTTTTCCTTTCCTTTTCCCTTGTGTATTTTTGAACCTACTGATGCATAGAGTGCTGCTATACTAGTTGTCTTCATCTGTATTTTTTTCTGTAAATGGGATAAAAGGGCCAGTTTATCTGCGAAGTCGAAATCATCCAGGCGCAAGCTGTCCATTGTATTCCGTGCTTCCCTTCAGATGTCGAGGTCTTCATAATCTACTCAACTATTTAAAGAAAATGGAAAGGGGTAGAGTAAGCAGACTTGTATTACTCCTGTCTGTTCTTGGAATGCGCCTTCCAGCCGTTCCCTATGCACTAATTGCATCGTATGAATTTCGGATGATGTTGATGATTTTCTCAGGTACACCATAGTGTCGAATAGGGTTCCATGAGATTTTTCCTTCCACACTGTTGAGTGCTTTTTCTAATCAAGGAAGTTGATGTATAGTGACCAATTCCATTCAATCGGTCGCTCAACAATTTTCTGTAGTGTGGTGATTTGGTCTGCACACCACTGATTCTTACTAAATCCGGTATGTTGATATAAGATTCGGTCGCTTACTGAATCTTTCATCCTGTTAAGCAACACTCTGTTGAAAACCTCTCTTGGTACTGACAGTAGTGTGATTTATCTGCTTAGATTTCCTTTCCTTGGTATCTTGATGAGGTGCCCTATTTTCCGGTACGTCGGTGGCACTTGTTCTTCTTGAATAGAACGTTGAGCATGTGTGCAGTTCCTTCTGTCTATTTTCAGCTTCTATGTCCTCAGGTCCTGCTCCCCCACACTCTTGATTTATCTGATGGCTATCCTGATTTTTTCGATCTTTGATAAAGTGACATCTTTAAGGAGGTCTGCGAGTGCTGCATCGATGTGCCGGTGTTTTCACTCGAGCTGATCTACTGAATAGCTACTCGGTGTTCGACCCATCTGTACCTCTGTTCTTGAGTCTCGGTGGTAAGCTTGCCTTCTTTATCCCTGACCGGTCTCTCTAGTTTACTATATTTCCGTGCAAGTTTCTTCGTCGTATGATTTAGTCATCTCATATTTCCTTCTCTTGCAGCTTTTTCCGATGTCGTTGCTAGCACTTTCACGTATTTCTGCTTGTCGAGTCTAATGAGTATGACACAGTCGCCCTTCAAATGACACTGAACTCTTTCAGATAAAGTACAGATTTTTTCGCTACGTATTGTCAAGGTTATCCACATACATCTTCAGTATTATTTTTGAAAACAGACATTTTAAAATTATTGTGCTATTTTCTACAGCACGGCTTTGTAAAGACTGGTACTATGTCAAACCACATTAATACCGTTATTTATACACTTATCAATCCTGACTGAATTTTATATGAACGCGCGTGTGTTAATTTATTATCTTATTCATCACATGGCTATAACTTATTTTTGTTCGGCTATAAATGTCGATTCACGCATAGTTAAATCGAGTTGGCTCAATCGCCTTCTCTGTTGCACGTCACTTTATTTTGCACGATTTCCTGATCATCGATTGTACGAAATATACGTATTAAAAATCCATTCTCGTATTTGACTTATTTAATCCCGTTATTCACTAGCGCGATTTAAGTCGACGATAATATATGAGGCTTGGCGACATGTGTATTGTCAATAACAACCATTTTTACGACCTGAATGGAGTCAAATTTAAGGTCAATAAATGCTACGACAACCATCACCAAAAAGGTGCAATTATTTATAAACAATTGTCTACGTAAGATACTAAATATCTGTTGGCCGGATATAATCAGAAACAGCCTCCTGTGGGATAGAACAAACCAGCTTCCATCTGAAGGGGAAATTAGGAAAAAATGTTAGAACTGGATAGGACATACATTACGGAAATCACCAAACTGCATTACGAGGCAAGCATTAAATTGGAAGCGGAAAGGCCAAAGAACACACTACACCATGAAACGGAAATATATATATATATATAAGGGATGAATAGCAACTGGAAATGATTTCCCACGACACGGTTGGATGGAGAGTACTAGTGGGTGGCCTAGGCTCCTCCACGAGGAGTAACAGGCGTAAGTATGTAAATAAATCTCTTGATAATTAGAAAATACACGTTTATATTATTGACTGGTTCTTATTGATCATGATGTTTATTAGAACTATCGAAAATAAATCCATGTAAAATAAATCGCTAGTCTACATCAACTGTAAACGTTATAAAAGTTTACATAAGTAATTAGTAGAAAATTGTTCATTAACGGACTGGTGTAATCTGAATGATCATTTTGAAAGTCAGAGATCGGTGAATAGTTGCTTTTTCCCTGTGCATGATTCGCTATCAGTTTATAAGCACAACTCTACATGAAATGCGAATCAAGTAAATTTAGGCATCATAATGCGAGTGGAAGCTATAGATAACCTAGTCAGAGTCCATTGAGTGATTCACGGTCTTGTTATTCAAATTAACATATCGAACATGACTAGATTTATCTCAAATACAGTTGTTCTCATGAAACGATTTTGTAATATACATGAACTGGTAATGACGTCATTTATTGATCTTAATTCGTTGGCTTAAATATAACGTACGGATGTTGAAGATTATGTTTCTTTAACTATTCCAGTAAAGCAAGTATTCCGAATAATCGTAAGACACGTAACTGCTTCATTTTTTTTGATAAATCCGTTCATTTTAGGTTGATTACTAATATTCTTAATAATTAAATATCATCAACTGGGAGTTTTGTGGAGATTATAGTAATTTTATAGTTGAATTCATGAATCGATTAAAGCTGACGAATCCCATACTAGGAAGAATCAGCAGTCTAGAGCTTCCAGATTTTCCCTAATAGTCTAGATTTAATCGACTCATCAATTCAACTATTAAATTAAACATCAATTACAAAACCCAATTTTTCTTTTTAATCTCAATGAAAGCCAACAATCATAATGACAATCGCAATGCTCACTGCTGAGGAGTCTCACAATAGAACGAAACGGCTGTCCAGTGCCTCCAGGTTTTCAATAGTAGTCTAACATCAATCGATTCATGATCTCTATCAAAAACACAATAATCTCCACAACTCTATTCTGATAATTAAATATTTCAGCCAATTGCTGTTAATTTACATTTTAGTTAAGGAGATTCAAAAAAAGAATGTCTCTGTAAAAATAATTAGCAATTTACTTTCATGATCACTAATTAATACATTTATTTCAGTTGACGTTATACATCTAATCAATAAACTGAATATCTGTTACACAAACAATCACATTCTTCACTACTTGCTAAACCTGATACACAAATGTTTCGGTGTTATATTATGCATCGAGTGTCATTATGAAAGGAAAAACGAATGTTTAACACAACAGATATTTACAAAACAACAGGTTAGACAATGTAAATACGCAGATCACATCGTTTCACATTGGCATCACCATTATGAATGTTTAGTCATTACGAATATAAAAGTGAGTTTAATATTTTTATAGTAAAAATTTCACAAATAATACAGCAAAGCCTTGAAAAGTCTAAATCATGTACCTATATAATTCATCAGATTACAAAAATGATTCTGTTTGGTTTAATATCCATTGTAAACAACGTTGACGACTAGACGATAACATTGACATATTTGATAACATGATCTCATGGTCATCATTTCCATTGTTAATTGACAACTGGATATTCACTTCTTGGTAAATACGACTACATAAAACTTGACGAATTGTTTTATGATAATTATCTAACCAATTTAATTCATCTGTAGTCAACATACCAGAATTGATAAATTTACGTTGAAATGGAACTAAAGTGACTGGTTCAAAACTGAGCCATTTAGTATTGTTAATGTCTGGTGAAAATTGAAAAGATCGGTGACCAGTAGAGGTTTCAGCTGTATAATTATTCCTGTCACTACTGTGCAAATCTTTTGTTTCAACAGGTACAACAAATACTACATTTTCTAACCGTATTCCAAAGTGATCACTCCAATAATAACCAGGTTCAATGGTAACAATCTGTATTTGAGAAAAAAGTGGAAAAGTAAATCTTTATTTTACACGAACCTATCAAATACGATAATGTATAGTGAGAATCCCTAGAAAGTTCAATAGCAATGTTTATGAGATTTACATACTAATTAAATAAATATCAGTAACAAAACATTAATCCAGAGTAAGAATTTTCTTAAATTTAAGTATAAGAACTGAAACATTTGAGAATCCACTTGTAGATGATGATCAAAATTCATCAGAAATGATTCACTTTATTATTTCTCAGTTGATCTCAGAAATTATGATGTTCTGAGGGAACTTTAAGGAGTTTTTTTCTATCACTGGTAACTAATGAACATCGAAAATCAAACTATAATTGAACGTCATACATTAAAATCTAAGAACAGATAGACATTTTATACTTGTGCACATATTACCCAAATAAATTTCAAAAGATTTAAATACATGGTCCGGTTGTTTTTGAATGTAAATTTGAGTACGAAAGCTGACGAGTATCAATTAGCAAGCAGCTCAGCTAAAAAAAAATCCCTAACTTGTCAGCTTACAACATCAAGATTGAATTCATCAATAACAAATATGATTGTTACCCACAGAGTCTCATATCTTAGCAAGCAATGAAATATCAATAACGAAAGAGACCCATAGTTTCATTGAAGAAGAAGAAGAAGAAAGGCAATTCAGCGAAGAAAATACGAATAAATTAAACCGTCGAAAAGAAAGTTCTATTCACTGAATTGTCTTCTTTCTTCTTAAACATCAGTGAGTATAGTATGAGCTGTTACAGCGAAGAATTGATTTTATTCTTTTGATTGCAGGTTGTAATAATTTGGGCGCCGTCATAGGATAGATTATGAGTCGTTAATAGCACTTTAAAAAAAAACTAGTGAAATAAGGCAGTAACTAAAAAATACATTCAGTATTCAAATAAACTGCAAGGTTTTCACTACGAAATACCATCAACAAAAGAATCTTTTAAAAAAGATTTGGAAAACTGTTTTGTCTAATTTTGAAACATCTAACGAATAATCTCGCGGGAATTTTCACACAAAACTGAATCCATTTAGGTGTAGGGTAGAAAGCGACACCTATAAACTCAAGATATAGAGCAACAAAAGCATTCAATCTCATGGACAAATTATTTACTTAACAGAAAATTTAATTCGTTTAATGGATTATAGCTACTTATTGGAAAATGAGGTAAATCAATCTCAAAGTGAGTAAATAGTAAACACAATATTCATATTTATGATAAAATTGTAATGTAACTACAAGTCTAAATGACTCAATAAGATCGTGTGCAGTATATAAATTTGTTAGGTGGTTGAAAATGACTGACAGGAAATCATATTTGGTTCAGATTTAATTTAGCAAGGCATACGGTCAGACTATAATTTATGGACGAACCAATGATAGCAAGTCTTAGATTTTGGCACGAAATTTATTTATCCGTAAAGTTAAATAGAATTTTGACATTAAAGCTGATATCAGTTCGTGATTGAAACCCTCAAACTAATTCTTAACCATAACTTATAACTCCAAATCGTAATCCTAATTCCTTACACTAATTTATAACCCTCTTATGGTACTAGAAATCAGGCAACTTTTCTCAAGGTCACTTCAATATCGCTCAAAGTTTGACTCATGTCCCAGGTTCCCAGTCAACTTCTTTCAATTACTTAAAATGAATGTAGATTAAGTGGTTTAATCAGATTTGTATTTTTAAATGATTCCCCGATTGATACAAACTTCTAACATTTTTTTCAAGACTATCTATAAGTCAAATCACTGCAATCATCAATTAAAAGTAAACGAAAAGTAGTAGAATATTGAGATTAAACTGTCAAACGAAAATGTTAACAAAAAAAGTTGAAAACTTATCAAAAAAAAAAGGAAGAAACACATTTTCTATTACCATATTTTCTTGTAAGCCTGGTTCTACTATACCCAAACGAGAGTATGCGTTAATTCGACTACCAGACAACCCAATAGGACCTTCATGTACATTGAGAAATGCACCAACACCATGTCCTGTTCCATGAGCATAATTACCATGAAATTGCCACATTATTCGACGAGATATAATATCAAGTCTTGAACCCGGAGTATTCGATGGAAAAATCTATTTAAATTAATAAATAATCAGAAAATATTTCGATTTCACAACATTAGTTGAACATAGTGTTTGAGTATAAATTAATCAATTATTGAATTATGTTGTTATATTGCTTGCCTTTTTACATTCCACTGTTGATTTATAACACTAAAATGATTGAGTTTGGTTAGTATATAGGCTTTTTTTAATTGATCCTTCAATATAGTATCTATACGCATCTTAATAACAAAAAACTTGAAAAACTTAACTATATTGATGAACCAATCAAATCCATGACAGTGGCTCTTACGTTTTCGTATGAAATCAAAAACTCAATGACAGAGAGATTGTATCTCGATAAGACTGATTTGGGAAACAACTGAGACCTAACACTATCTGCAAACTACGATACATAAAATTGATAAACATAGAAAGAAAAAAGAATAAAGACGAAGTTGAGCGGTTTCTAAAATGACGAGAGAATGATCAGTCTTTCATACAGAAAATAATAAACAGATAAAACTTTAACAAAATATATGAAATTCTAGACGTAAATTAAAGGGTTTCGATAATACCTAAGTATTCATCTATATGGCTATTAAGCATCTCCTAATTTTATTCCTATTCAAAACTATTAATTACACACACCTAACCCCAAAACCTAGTACAAACCGTTAATTCTAATCATAAAGTGTTTATATTCACTTTATGTTGTTTACTTGTATCAGGACGCAGTAGCTAAGTGGATAACGCGACGGTGTTTGAAGCGAACGGTACTGGGTTCGATTCCCAGAGTGAAAATCAACTCTGAGATGCAGGTACATCCAGTTGACGAGTGCCAAATAGGACGATACGCGCGCCCTGGATTCCATTGTTAGACACTATCTAACTTTTCTATTTATGCTTTCAATGTAATAAATTATTTTTGCTTATATCACGTGCGTTCTAATTGGTTTCGAGTTCTCGAGACCGTTTAAAACATCACTGTGGTCGTTGGTGGTGTGTATTTATTAATATTTTAAGTAACAAATTACCTGTGTGAATATTTGTTATGTACTGAAATCCTATGGACCAAAATCATACACCAAGTCACCAATCAGGACGCTGACTTTAGTTTGGCCTATTTTGTATCTATGAATTCCTTGAGAACCTAGTATCCCTTGATTGACAAATAACATGAATAACAAGCACCATTTACCTTAAACTCAAAGTTAAAATCCTGTTAGTCCAATATACACGAGCGCCTCTCTATACCCTGCTTTAAACCTAAAAGTCAGCAACCAGTCTCTACTATATATATATTTCAAACGGTCGTGGTTTTGATATAGAAATACCAGACTACATCACATCATAAAGTGAAAAGTAACAACCATATATGAACAAGCCAAAAGTGGATGTAAATATGGGAGACTATAATTAATGGACTGTCAACAAATTAAAATTGGTAAATTGTACAATATTAGTTAATTAATCAACTGAAAGATTATAACAAAACGAATACATAGACAATAGTAATTCGAAAAACCAGTTTCAACTTCCAGGATATTGATTTCTATAAATACGTAATGTTATGGATTCAGTAAAAGATGTAATTCTCAATATTCTGTATGTAGTAACTTAGGTCAATAAGAATATCAAATCAACCTCGTGCACTTTGAAATAAGCAGAAGAAATTATTTTAAAAGAAGAAATGAGAACACAAACCCGAAATAAACAAGTAGTAAATATAAAAAGAAAACAAAAAACATCATGAAGTGACAAGTCACAAAGTGTTAAGGAAGCCACTGCCAGGGAAGTCCTTCTCGAAGCGGGGGTGTTGTTTACGAAATTGAGAGAACGAAAAGGGAGTGTCCGGATCTTTAAGCCGGTCGGTGGACACGGAGGATCCATCTAGGGGAGTTGGAAAACCCTGGCTCCAAACAAATGATGCATATGAGCTCCAGGATCCTGAGAGAACAAATGGCGTATGAACCTGTTTTTGGTAATCGTCTACCATAAGACTATCACCTAACGTTGCTCCACTGCCTTGTGAATTAGATTTTCGGATCAGAGGCTCCGGGTGGGGCCCTTTAAGAAAACCACCTGCTTCGGTTTGGGCACCCGGGCAGTATCACAGCCCTCACGAAAATCAATGATAACTACTACTGGCTTCAATGTTATTGTGTGGCGAATACGTATTTGGTACCCCCCCCCTGTATCAATGTTTATGTGTTCAAATAAATAAATAAATGCTAAATCTCAAAAAAGAAACAATACAGAAAGAGAATCAATTCTAAAATTCGCATATCGATTTTTCAGTGATTCTTTATTCAGTTAACCTTTCATTGATTCTTGTTGTTTTCATTAATTTCGAAGAAATTTTGTTCATTGATTCTTAGTAAACTTTCGATTGTATTAACTTATTTAGTATCCTGTAAGTTATTTGGTCTTCAATGTATTTCTCCTTGTATTAATTAATTATTCAATGTGATTTTGTGTTGAGTGATAAGTGTGCAATTTGATAAAATTATGTAATTCATAATTATTGAACTTATTGATATATTATAGAATAAGCTTATTGTTATTGGTTATATATGATATACTCTTGTAGTCCTGGGCAATTCGTATACACATTGACGTCACACGTATAGTTATTCCGATCAATGTTCGCGTGAATTAATTATGCACAGCACGAACAAGTCAAGTTTGACCTATTTCGCTTACACAACAGTCAAACTCATTAATGTTACCAATAGCGGCATACCTTACACTGTCCCAATGACAATGGCCCTTGAGTCAGTTCCCCCTCTCGAAATACTCTCACATGGCCATGCGTATATAGCCTCTGCCATAGAATTCCTGCTCACTGCCTTCTCGTGGCGGGGATGTTGTTTACGAAAACGAAAGGATGAAAAGCGAATGTCCGGCGCTTTAACCGGATCCCAAACCATTGGTGCACATGGGCTCCAGTATCCTGAATGAACAAATGGCGTATGAACCAATCGTTGGTCACCCGCTACCATGGGACTGCATTTCCTCACGATGCTCCACTGCCTTGTGGGTCAGACCTTTAGGTCAAAGGCTCGGGGTTAGGCTCCCTAAGAAAACCGTCTGCCTCGGTCTGGGCACCCGGGCAGTATCACAGCCCACACACAAATATGATGAGATGTCGAGATTTATGGAAAATACTTACCTTGCTTCGATCAATAATCAAACGATTCACATTATTATTATTACTATTATTGTTATTATTATTATTATTATTATTATTATTATTATTATTATTATTATTATTATTATTATTATTATTATTATTATTATTATTATTATTATCTTTTACATCATTCATTCACTCTTTTATTCCCAATTTATTCATCCTTATTTTTTGACTCATACAGCAGCTCGTCCATGGTGGAAACGCGGTTCTATCTAAACGTTCTCGAGTCACTGCCTGGTTGAAAATTTTGTGCTACCACCAAATACGAATACTGAAGCAATTTTTCTGAAATCACGTGCACCATTCAAACTGGCTGCCTTCAACGTTCGCACACTTATGCAGATCGGACAACAGATAGGGCTGGATATGTCTTTAGAAAGACTTAATATCGACATCTGTTGTCTATCCGAGACCCGTATTCAAGACTCTAGTTTAGTGCTAAAAATTCGCTCTCCATCTATCGCTTCGAAAAACTTGTTTTATGTGAGTTTATCCGGGGACTCTGTGGCATCTCCGTCTGGTCTTGCTGGCATTGGTGTCGCACTAAGCGCTAGAGCTGAGGGAGAACTAATCGATTAAATCCCCACTAACAGTCGGTTATGTGCTGTTAGATTAGAAAGTTCCATCAAAGTAAGAGGAAATCGGTGTGAGAAACGATGTCTTTTCGTCATCTCCGCCTATGCCCCGACAGATTGCAGCCCGGATGCAATCAAGGATGAATTCTATCACCAGTTAACTGTTCTCCAGAAAGTGCGTTCGACAGATATTGTAGTACTAGCCGGAGACTTGAATGCTCAGGTCGGGCGTCTAGGCACAGAAGAGAGTCGTTTAGGTGGCCGATGGGGACTTGTTAGTCGCAGGACAGATAACGGGGACCGTCTACTGCAACTGTGCACAGACCACAACCTGTTTCTGGCTAGCACTAACTTCCGGCACAGTCATCGCCGATGTGCCACCTGGCGTCCTCCCTCTGCATCTCAAGCCTGGACTCAGATTGATCACATCGCGATCAGCTGCCACTGGTGTGGTTGTGTACAAGACTGCCGCTCTTTTTGGAGTACATATCTGGACTCTGATCATACCGTGGTCTGTGCCAATCTTACATTACTTTTCAGTGGCCAACGAAGTGACCACCACCCAAGGATTGATGTCAGCAAGTTCGTTGCAGCTTCTGTTGCAACTAAATATCAAACCGAGCTAGGTTCAAGGCTAGCTAACATTCCACCGGAAAGTATAGATGAACATTGGTTGCAATCGCATGACGCCATGAAAACGGCGAGTAAAGTCACTTGTGGGTTAGCGAAACGTCCAGCTTACAAGCACTGGATTTCTTTAGGCTCCTTACAACTCATCGAAGCCCGTCGGTCTACTCCGAGTGACCGTGAGTTTTACCATAAACAACGACTGTTACGTAATGAAATCGAGCAAAGCTTGCGTAAGGACCGAGAAACCTGGTGGTCGGAGCGTGCTAATGAGCTGGTAACTACCGGAAGCTCTTCCATCTCATCCGAGCCACTGACAGCAAGAAGTCTGGTGTGAGCGAAACAATCTGTGAGGATCACGGGATGCCAATCAGTAACATCCATCGACGTCTTGGACGATGGGCAGAACTTTTCGAAGGGCAGTTCAACTGTCCTGCTGCTCCAGCAACATCGGTCGCACTGTCCTGCCCTCCATGGCCTGTGACGACTGATCCACCGAATGAGGCAGAAGTTCACGAAAAACTCCAACTCTTAGGGCGCTACAAATCATCGAGCTCAGATGACTTACCACCGGCCCTTCCTAAAGATAATGGTGACTTCCTGGTTAAGGAACTGACTGCGTTGTTCAAAAAAGTTTGGCAGTTAGAGTGTCCCAACATCGTGGAATGTGTCGATAATTGTCCCTATCATTGAAAAGGGTTCACGTCATTTCTGTAACAACTATCGTGGGATAAGTCTACTTCAGACTGCGTCCAAACCATCGGCTTCTGTCATACTTCGTACACTGTTCAAAACCTGAGAAAGATTGACTCGCGAGGAGCAGGCTGGTTTTCATTCTGGTCGACGATGTATTGATCATATCTTCGCCCTCTGCCAAATGTCCTCTGGGATTGTCTATTGAAAAAGGGTGTGCGTGGGAAGTTTAGCAACTTCCTAAAAGCCCTATATACAAACACCTCAGGCAGAATGAGGGCATACAACCACTTCTCCCCATTGTTCCATTCGAGCAGTGGGGTTAGACAGGGTTGCCCAATCTCACTAGTCCTCTTCAACTCTGCCATCGATGACATTCTGGAAACAGCTCTCATGGATGTAGGTAATGGTAGTGTGGATCTGTTGCCTGGAGAAAGACTTCTCAACCTTGAGTATGCAGATGATATTGTCTTACTGTGTGATAATACCCAAGCCATGCAATCCACACTTAATCATTTGGCAATCAGTGTCCGTAAGTATGGTATGTGCTATGCACTTTCGAAGTTCAAAGTACTTCTACAAGACTGGCAGGATTCTAATCCTGTGTTTACCCTGGGTAATGAACAAATATAAGTATTCGAGAAGCTCGTGTATCTAGGTAGCTTCATAAGTGCTTGTGGGGGTGTGAGTGATGAGATCAATGCACGTATAGTGAAAGCCAGAGCGGTTTATGCCAATCTAGGTCATCTTTGGCGCCTTCGTGATGTTAGTCTGGCTGTAAAAGGTCGGGTATACAACGCGTCGGTGAGAGCAGTTTTGCTCTATGCTTGTGAAACCTGGCCTCTCCGAGTTCAGGATGTTAGACGACTCTCTGTGTTCGATCGTCGTTGTCTCCGAAGGATTGCTGACATCCATTGGCAACATCAAGTTAGTAATACAGAGGTTCGGCATCGTGTGTTCGGGCACAGAGACGATAATGCAATTGGTGTCACCATCTTGAAACACCGACTTCGGTGGCTTGGACATGTTCTCCGAATGTCATCCCAGAGAATTCCACGTTGTGCATTGTTTGCTAACTCTGGGTCTGGTTGGAAGAAGCGGAGAGGTGGTCAGTGTATGACATGGTGTAGTGGTATGAAAGAAATCTGTAAAGGACTGGCTTGTGTTGGTCCTTCACGACTCCCTGGCTGGGGTCCTAGAGATGGTGCAACACAGTGGCTAGAGACGTTATCAGATATGGCTCAGAATAGAAGCCAGTGGAGATCCCGCTTTAACCTTCTTTTACTTTCTTCATAAGAAAATGTTTGTTTCTTCCTTAACTGAAAGATTTCTTCTGATTGTACCTTTCCGTTTCCCTCATTATTACTATTATTATTTTTATTTTCATCACTATTACACTACCTTACATTAATCTGTTCGTTAACGTTCTTTTTTTCACGCTCCTAACCTTTTTTCTCTTCGAATTCTCATTGTTTTGTGTGGCGCATATATATTTGGTGGCCTCTTGTATCATTATTTATGTGTTCAAATAAATAAATAAATAAATCTTTCCGGAAAGTCAAATTTATTCTGACGAACTTCAGTAAGTTACCGCTTAATAATTCAATGAATACTACCACAAGAATTTAACAAGCATTTTCACTGGAAACGAACATTGGAAAACTATAAAAGCTTAGCTTGAAAACCCTAAGAAATATGATTCTACTTTTGATTTTAAAAAAAAAAGATTGTCACTTACTTGCATAGCAAGTGCAATATGTGCTTTTAAGACAGTTGTATAACAATTCTTCTGTTCTAATGTTGGTTCACCTAAATGGATTGTACGCGTGACATCCGTTGTGCCCGTCAAGTATTGACCACCAGAATCAACAAGGTATATACTTGTATTTGTAATAGGTGCACTTTGACCTTCAACAGGATGATAGTGTATAATAGCTCCATTTGCGTCTAGAAAAAAATCCATAATTGAATGAATAAGGAGAATAAATAAGACGATAACATAGAATACATAATAACTATGGTAACGCAACACAAAACAAATTTCGTTCAGATAACAAGCAATTTATTAACAAACCTCAAATAAACGATATATATATATCGTAGCTTACCAGCGCAAGATATCGTGCTGAAGCTTAAGCTGAAAAAATCTTTAGCTTGTGACCGTAATTCATCTAAATATTGAGCAGTTGATGCTTCAGTTAAAACAAGTGGTGGTGTTATTACCGGTAGACCTGCACCATTTTCTGTATTTGGTTTTATTGGTTTGTAATCATGTGACTGCTTACAACAGCTGTTGTTATTAATTTGATTAGCTTCATCTTCTAACCAAGCCAAAAAATCGCATAATACTAATGAATCAGTGATGTGAATTTCACGAATTCCATTTAATTCTGATAAAGATTTGATAGATTTCATTTCAGCAACAGGTGAGATATGAAATAGACGTCGATTTTCTGGTATTTTTGTAACAATTGCATAACTAGCAGATATATCGAACCATACACGTGACGGTTGCAATGATAAATGTTTTTCCGGTGAATTATGAACAACAGTTTCCAAGTGGTTGAAAAATTCAGAATATGGATGAATTTTTACCTAATGATAAATATATACATATGCAAGAAGAGGTAGGAATACTTTGTTTTTCGAAGAGTAATTCATTTCAACAACAGAAGACATTTTCCGTGAAGTAGTAAATACCAAGACGAAATTGATATAAACTAATAACTAGAGTAGTATAGGTATAATATAGAGAAAATTATAGAAGTTTGTTATGACGGAACAAGTATTGTAGAAGCTGGAACTGGTTTTTTAAATTATTATTACTTATAATTTTGTAGTACAGTTAGTGAGTGACTAGATTACTAGTGTCTATGTATTCATTTTGTTATAATCTTTCAGTTGATTAATTAACTAATATTGTACAATTTACCAATCTTAATTTGTTGACAGTCCATTAATTATAGTCTCCCACATCTACAGCCACTTTTGGCTTGCTCATGTATGGTTGTTACTCTTCACTTTATGATGTGATGTAGTCTGGTATTTCTATATCAAAACTACGACTGTTTGAAATATATATATAGTAGAGACTGGTTGCTGACTTTTGGGTCTAAGACAAGGCATAAAGAGGCGCTTGTGTATGGCGAATGAACGAATAGGAACTAAGCTGTCGACTCGAGGTTCCTTTTACCAAATTGGTGCAAAGAAACATTTTTTAGTTCAATTTTTAACTATATCTTCTATAACATAGTATTCTGTTTCAAATATTTTTCTAACAATAGTAATCCTCTTCCCTTCTTTATTTCTTCACACAGTTATCGCTCTATTTGTGTCGCGCACACACTTTTAGTGCCGTTTTACCAGATTTTACGTTTACGAAAATAAACAATTAAAAATAAGTACTGATGGCAAAATCGAGGCAATCCGCACAGGATGAACATACACCCAAAAGAGATTGATCGATCACAGTCCTAATATACATATATATATGAGACTTCAGGTGTTGTACCATAAAAACATTGGGTTGCCGTTTCAGAATTTTCTTAACTTACAACTGAGAAGTGTTTCAGTGACTAGCAGTATGATACGGTATATTGTTATAACTATGTAGTAGACAAGTCATAAAGTCTACAGTCTATATAATCAATTCAGTTCCAAAATAAGTTTGTTCAGTTCATTTTTTGGAAGCTATTTAAGAGATAAAGAGAGATATCAATTGATATATCATAAGTTCACCCCCCCCCACACACACACTACTTATTTTATCCTCACCAGCCAATTAGCATACACCTAAAGTGTAACTGAAAGCTAAGTACACAAACCTGTACTTGTTGCGTGGGTCGCATTGGAATACCGATGCTCCGGTTGATATTGATTTATGATTATACGTATCTGTAAATAAAATCATTTTTTTAAGCTCGTAAATTGGTTGTTAGTTAATGCCTAATAATAACTTACTAAATACTGTTTATCGCTCAAGTAATCATCAAGCCTAGGTGTTTGATCAACAGTTTTCGGATTCAAAAATAAGTCTATTTTATTCAAGCTCACAATAGCATATGCATAAAACACTGGATTATAAAGTATATCATTTCCACGTAAATTGAATAACCATGCAATCTCATCCAATGCAGATAAAACCAGTAATTCAGCCCCTTTTGCTTTCATCATATTTCTAACACGATCAATTTTTTGCTGCCAACTTGAACCAGAAAATGAGACTGGAATAAATAACAGTGGATTTGATGAACGAATAGGACGAGAAACATTTTCAATTTGTAATTCAGACATAGACTCCCAAACCAGATCAATCAAATTTGTGTTTGGTATATTAACTAACTGTCGACTGAGAGGATTTTTAATTCCGTTACAATTTGGTAGAATACCTAATTCAGCTTCAACACCAGCCAATTCTTTTTGTAATGTTTCGATTCCCGTATAAGGTATTTGTCTACCATCATATCCAATAGACGAACCAGGTGAAGTTGACGAAACAATCCATTGGGCTCTTGTAGGCGCTTCAGTTAAGTCATTTCTAAATAATGACCAATTTTCGTCTAGTTCATTGGAAGCCTATATAAACGAAAAAGCAGTTAAGATTTATTGGATAACGTTAGACAATATTATCTCTTACAAGTAATTTATTTATTTATTTGAACACATATATATTGGCACAGGAGTGCGCCAAATGTATATGCGCCACACATACAAGTAATAGTAACTTATGCATTGAATATATACTTCAGTAATTTACCTCATGAGCGCTGAACTAAGTTTATAACTTGGGCATTAATTTAATAAATAAAAAATTATCTACATTTGTACGAAAACTCATTATGTTACCCGAGTGCTCAAAAACGCAGTGGGTAGAACAGTCCGAGCTTTCAACACTGTTAATAAAGGTTAAATTCTTGAACTACTGAGCCAATACCTTACTTAGAAAACAGTCCTATAATATGTTGTTACACTGATATGAAGGAAATCAAACTGTTATTGAAGAACTGACAATTATTAGTGTTCTTGAGCTTACACAAAAACCCGACGTTACGTTATTACTCCATCCTGAAAAAATAGTGTACTAATTGTATTAATTCCTTTATTTTTAAAGATATTAACATTATCAGGTTGATCGATAACTAAATATCCATGAACGAAGTAAGTCTGACTTGTTTTAGAGATGTTCCGGACGTAAATACAGCAATCTCAGTCAGTCAGCTACAACGTAGGACCAGGCACATATATGCATCGGTCCAAGTTGCAGCAATCTATAGACTATTCGACCATGTGACCGCAAGTTCCGATTGATAATAAGTTTTTAGTATATCTAGCCATCATTTAATAAAAATTTGATCAAAACAAGTATGGATATGAGCTTATAAATGACTTTACCTGCAATACATTTGCCAAAATGGGATCATTTTAACCGGAGTATGCAACGCTAATTCATTTATCTAGAAAGTCTCATCAGATTTAGTGAGTTAATCACTGATAAGATCTCAGCAACAACTCAAAAGACCCACTTGATTCTTTCAATTTACATCACCGGTGGCGTAGACAAGATATCTATCTCTGTCACAAGAAGATGTGTATACTGAACAGAATTCTACTCTGTTCTAATCTATGGCTGTGTATCGTGGGTTCTGAAGGCAGACAACAATGGTCGACTACTAGTATTTGATCGTAGATCAGTTAGTCAGTGGTCTTGCGTGCTGTTAGAGGTATGAGGGCGGTTCTTAATTCCCGGATGTCCACACCAAGGAAGAGTTCTTCTAGTGGTAACTGAAAAGGAATTCGGGTTAGAGATGACGTTAATGACCTGAGAGCGTAACAGAAGTGCCCAAGGGACAACTGCTTGGGACCGGCCACATACGACCTTTATGTGGGTTATTTTTGTGTTAGCTCCGTACTTGTTAAGAGACGGAAATCCGTGAGATAAGGCTATATGTGTATTTGTAGGATCGACATTTTGTAACCACATCGTTCCCCTTTGAGAAGGTAGCATCGCTGTTATGCTGGTTGTCTGAAGGAAACACTTTACTACCGTCACAATTCGGTACAGTCAGCAGTGTGATTCCGCTCTTGGGCCTTGGGTTTGCTTCTTTTAGTCTTACCACTCTTCAACATACCTGTCCGGCATAGTAGGACCTTGAGGAACGATCGCTTTAGCCTGTATAGCCCGACAAGCGAGCCCGGTCACCGCGTTACGGTAGCAGCGACGGCTGGGTTGATCAAAGGTGTTGTCGAGTCATCAGTCTTGTTAAGAGCAGCTAGTGAGCAATACTAAGGTTAGTTGCAGTGTACGGAGTAATGACGATAAAGTGGTTGGTGAGTCAAAGTTTCTATATCAACTGAAACAGTGGGGAAATAGATTACTTTTACCCAAAACCAACTACTATGATGCGATGTTAGCTGGTGCAGTAAGTTGAAAGCCACATGCGACTGAGCCAAAACGAGACCTCAGTTTGACTGGTCATTGGACTTTGGTGAGCCTAGCAGATAGATGCAAACTACCTGATTGTGATCCGCGCGGTGAAGATGTCAGGTAACATGGCTGACAATCGGTTACAACAGCTCAGACGCACTTTATTTACTCCAAGATCAAAATTACTCTGAATACTTTATTTCACGGATTATATCCTCCTAATGGGATTGCAATGTATATGCCTAAGCTTCTCCCCAGTAAATTTTACTACTACTTTGGTACGAGTCTTGGTAATTTCATCAATCTATGAGGAGGAGGTATGGCAAATCGAGTCGACATGTGTTCTATGTTGCTTTTCACAGACAGAACGACTGACAAAAGGTATTTAAGGACTCCAACTTTGATTGGGTTGTCAACCTTCTGAAGTATAAAATATACAGCTTCAGACAAAGTTGTTCGCTCGGCTAAATAATCAAGATAACTGGGGAATAGTAACACATACCTAACAGTTTTAAAACTTTGTGTTATGAGTGAGACAGAAATAGGATAAGGAGAACTTCAGAGGCAAAAGCAATATTTTCTACTTGAGAATTCATATTGTCTGTACATTGAGAAGTATTAGATACTAGTCCAACAAAATTTGGTGATTGTAGCTATTGTCTAAAATAATTTGATGGTATGTAAACTGATCCCCAAAAACATTTGCACGGCTTATGAGACATATTTCTGAAAGAATGACTCGTGGGTAAATGTTTTTAAAAGCATAAATTGTTGGAGCAGAGCTGACTATTCAAATAACTTCTGTTCGTTTAGAAATTTCAACTGTGAAACGGTATGCGTATTAGCGAACTGTATATATACGATACCATGAGATCTAGAAACAAACTATATCCAGTTGATTATTCACTACAAATTTTTGAAACTCAGGATGTATATACGACTGAAGCCTACTAAATGCTAAAAATAACGACATCTTAAAGTGCCTAAGTGAAGTAATCGGATAACAATGGACAACAGAAAAAAGCTTTAGGCTCTCAATTTCTTCCATAAGAGTCATAATCCTACCTTGTGAAGTGATTTTATTAAAATTAGGACTGAAATATGGGAGAATCAAGGAGGATTACCATATTTCAGATAAATTACCACCTAACAAATTCTGATCTTACTTGAAGTTAACTAGTAAATAACTACAAAAATGTCGACATAGTTGTACTGCTTCGAAATTGTGATTAAAATACTTATTTTTCTAGGAGAAAACCACCTGTAGCTGATATCGACCATCAGTCCATAAAGCAGCTTGATCTAAAGTGATAACAATAGAGCAGGAAGAACCTGTAAATCCAGAGATGAATGCACAACGCCTATCTGCATTGCCCACATACTCATTAAAATGTTCGTCTTCTGTTGGCAGTATATATCCTTGCAAATTTCTATCTTTCAATAAATCGCGAAGACGTGTCAGACGTCCCGAGCTAAATATTCTCTTCATTTTACACCTACAAGATATTACATAAGTTAAGATGAATTTTTATTGCTCGTTGTCAGATATAATCTTACTGAATTAAGTACTGAAACAAAGCGGAAAAGTGTTTGGAACAATAGAAAAATAATAATACACAATTTTCTGATACATGTATGCATATGTTTCAAATATTAGCAGTTTAAATCATGAAGCTAACGGTATTTTAACCAAACCTCAAACTAAGTCCTCTACATTAAAACACCACATTTCAAAGTCATAATTTAGTACGGAATATACAGTTAGGCAGCACAATTTTTTCTGATAGGTGAATGCAAAACAGTCAATACCAAATTTTAACTTTAAAACTCCAAAGCTGTTTTGATACGAAAATAATCTAGACATTGAGTCAGAAAATTTCAGATTCCATGTGAACATATCACTACTTTTGGACTACGATTATGAAAAATTTAGACCTACAATATTCAGGATAAAAGCTTTTCAGCAAATAATTTGCTCAAGGGACTACTCACTGAAAACAACAAGGGCATTTTGCCCCTATTTCTAATCATGATATAGTCTCTGTGTATAAGGGAAAGGTGCCTTTACCCAGTTTTTAATACGACTGGTGATTCGGACATCCAAGTCAACACTCTCTAACGAGGAAGATAACTACCTAGCTAAAAGAGAAGATATAACTTATAAGTCTAACTATTTTTATCTCTTATAAAGTTAGATGACTAGAGAGTATAGCAGGGAAATTTATTTCTGAATAGGAACAACATCCTGTCGACAAATATTCAAATGTGAGAACCACTTATACCAACCAGTGATGTATTTTTCGTCAAATATCTCGTAAAGACAGAAATACGAAATAATAAAAACAATTTTTAACCTTTTGATTATGAATAGGTCATTCTAAGCTCACATAAAATGGGTTTATTTGTTCAAAAAAGTATATTTTTATTCGTAAAATATAATCTATGTACAAAAAGTGTTACAAAAAATGAGATATCAAGAAAAGACAATACCAAGGTTCTGGAGTGACACAATATTAAAATGCTTATAACATTAGAAAGTGTAATCCAAAGATATACTCGTAAATTAGGCATCATGTGAAGTACGATGGTAATTGAGAAGAAAACTTTGAAGGAATTTTTACATACAACTGCTTTTTACGATCATACACAGCATCTCGTCCCAAGTAACCGTATTCGATAGTTAAATAAGTTTTTAAGTCATGCGGAGCTAGCAAGTTTACACCTTCGAATGTACATGGTATTAAAGGAAAGAAAGAATTATATGGGAATAATTTCTTTTTGCAGTCATATATACCGGGCAAATTCCAGTTTACAAGCAAAGGCTTTATGTCATCGGAGGAATCTGGATAAGTAGATAGAGTGAACAAATCCACATGTACTAATGATGGATCCGATTGTATATGACTTACAATTTTTGAGTTTAAATGATATAATTCACAGGCTTTAAGTAAACCATTAGTGCTGAAAAAGAACTTAATGCGTTTGCAATCACATCCATTGTATGGTATCTCTTCAATGGTTTCAGACATATTGAATTTCTGCGCTTTAAGCCAAAAACGTCTACAGATACTGGCCGAAAAATCGACATATAAATCAGAATTGACACTGATTAGTAAAGATTCATCCATATTTTCCACACCGAAAACACTTATACCATTTTTTAAACAGCAATGAATCAGTTTAGTGTACGAACTGTTTCCATTAGAATCAAATTCTAAAATGCCCAAGTCAATGTCTGTATCATGTGATATGAATTTTCCATCTTCACGGAATACAGATAAAGCTGTGCCACCATAAACAAATGGCTCCAAATCAGCAGCTTTGCATAAATCCAATACAGATTTTAGTAAGTGAACTCTTAATGGTTTCAGACGCCGACTCTGACGCATAATACGCCGAACATTTCTTAAAGAACACGTCCCGAACATATTGAAACTTATATGGGATTCAGAATTTGAGGCGATATCAGCTGATTCCACGTCAGAGATATAGGAATGAAAGAAGGGGAATTCATGTAAATCTACAACTTCATTTGATTCACATTGAGCCATGAAGCTGTTATAAATATCAACCTAGAAACAAAAAACACAAAATTAATTAAGACCCACATTTTTGAATGTCAGTAAAGTATTTCTGTTAGCCTGAAGGATCATTATTACAGATTTCATTAACGTTATCAGAGTCCTTTGGAAGAATTTTTCCTATTGCACAGTGAGTTTTGAATGAAGAAAAATTCAAGAACGAAAACCAGTTACATTTTACTATAAATTAGTTTTGGAATACTCCAGAAAACACTACTTAAAATATATTCGATACTTCAACAAACTGCTGAGCTATAACTTGAACACATAACTCCACAACTAATAGGTATTAAGTCACGTAGAAGCACAAGGCTCGTTTAATTTGTTTAGTATGGGTGGGTCGCAATCAATAGCTCTGACAATCAGCTCAGCTCAGCTCAGCTCAAAAACAAGTACATAAACATCAACTCTGCATCTAGTTACTCAGTTTTAACTCCATCAAATTATCAGACATTTATGTTGGTGAAAGTAAAGACCGTTCATTAATCCCTTCCAAATGCAGAAAATCAGAAATCTAACCGTTATCTAAGTAGAATTGGTTTTACGATACAAAAATATAATCCCTGCTGTTTTAGCTTGTGCAGTTAGAGAGCACACAAACTGATAAGCTGAAACGATAAAAAATTATGTTACAAAATCAACTTTGTGCCAACAATATTGTCCAAAACTAGAGATGTGAAAAACGTAGCTTAACATAAAAGCCTGTAATTTGAAGTTGACAATATTTCAAATGAGATATACCGTTGCTCGTTGAACTTTTTAGGCTTTAAAATTACTTCCACATACCTAGTCGCTTTCTCGACAACTTACGCAAAACAATGACATATTTTCAGACTTAATCAGCTCGACATCACAGTGAGTTATTCGTGTACCACAATTGAATTAGTGGCACAAAAAGGACAACTAATGTTGAGGGATCAAAAGTAATCCATAGATGTCACCTTCACCGACTTCATAAAGGCATTTAACAATGCTCCTGATACGAGATTATATAAGTTTAGCAGTATTGAGACCACAATACATTTGATTCAGTGAATAAGCGACATTTTAGTCTTATTCAAACAGTAAGGGGTAACTTCCAGTTGTTTGGGTGAAAAACAGTTGATAATCGAGTTTTACAAGATACAGTTCCAGCAGTGATTTTCCTAGCTTTCTGTTCTGTTATATACCAGCAATGTGGAAATTTGGATAGTGACAAACAACGAAGGGGATAGAGTGGATTTGCACAAAAGATCTTCCAAAATCAGCAGATTTATTTGGTATTTGATGATAAATAACTCCAAGTGTATTATGACGCATGCAGCACACCAAGGTACAAGTAAGTACATGGAGAATAGAGATGCGTTACTTGTTCAAACAGTAATTAAGGAGTCAGCATCAGTGAGAACTTATATATCACTCACACTTCTATGCAACAGCTAAAAGCTTGGGAACTGTTTTTCAATACGTGAAGATTTCAGTCAAGTAATGTTAGGGAATTCATGACATTGGATAGTGTTTGGCTGACCAGAACTCGAAAAGAGCGTACAAGCAGTTAACCATCAAAATAGCAGTGGGCCGTAAGAATGGTTTCGAAGAACCATAATTAGATTGATTCATGGAATCTAAAAGCAAACAAATGACGACAGAGAAAATTAAACTTTCCACTCCCCGCCATACAGAAAGAACACGGATGATCTGGTCAGCCTTTGAACCGACTAAAAGTTTTTCGCCTGCAACAGACTCCTTTATCTTTTAGAATCCATGAAAGCATTGAAAAATGTCTACATAAAATAACCAAACAGCTGTCAGTTGACGCTCGGATTTCTTATTAATTCACCCTCAAGTGAGTCTCATTACTTTAAAAGTGGTTCTATTGGTTTTCTCGACACATTTCAAAAAGAAAGTCGGATGAAATTAAAATTCCACATCGCCAACACTAATATAGGCTTTCTAGACTTCCCCGCTTCCTTAATGGGGTCTGTAATAAACACAAATACTATTTGTCATACGCCCTATTGTAAGCGCGATTCCCCACCCTTTAACCTCTGTTAAAAATATCACAGACATAAGTAAAACATACAACAAGAATACATCTAAACTTGTCATGATAGGTATATAACCATGGAGTTTAAGAGTAACAGGCCATCAATGTAACTAAAGGTTTGACGGTCGTCAGTTGATAAAAAGATACTTGGAATACCATAAAAACCTAAGTATATTTACTGCTATCATTTGATTACTGTAGTCACAAATAAAGGAAATTCTTAATGGTCCCATCTGTTATAGCCGCTCTAAAATCCGCTGTAAACCGATCGTACGTGAGCATCAGGTACTTAGATTAGCGCAGTGACCTTGAAATCTCTCAAACGCTTCACACTGGCTCGTCCACAAATTAATCTCACGCTGAAGATTTGGTTTCAGACTTTCCAAAAGTAAAAAATCAAGGTGGTAATCGTAAGTAAATTATCCTCGCTATGTATGTAGTGCAAACAGTATACTGAACGTTAATATCCGTGGATATATCTACGCATGATTATAATCAAGTGGATATGCAGATTATAATTATTTTTGACATCTCGTTTGATAGGATTCATAAGTACTTCTTTGCTAATTTCCATTTTTGCATTTGTCCAGCGAGGTATCTCAACTATCATATTGTAATAGTTATTTGTATCGGTTAACAATGGTACATCATGAAAACATGAAATAGGAGATCCGTCATGGGTGAGAAACATTCTGTAAGATAAAGAGTGGGAAGTCTCACGTTCTACATACGTCATGATCCTCTATTACAAACACAAACCAACAAATTTCACGATACTTTCCGGATAAAACTGGCTTTTGGGGGTCCAATAGTTATAATAGTGGCTAATCTTCGAACATTACCGAGGAATGTTGTAAGCCTCTCCAGTACAAAGGAAGGCGCAGTCCAAAACAGGCCACTGTTACCTCGACCTTCAGCAGACTTGACCTCACGTACTTGTGCAGACAAACAACACCAAAACATGTAAAATGACATAAAACAAAGGCAATGTTGCGGAATGTTCTACATTCATAGTCAATAACGCGTTTTTTTAGAATGACCATTAGCCTTTTAATCGTGATCACAGTCTTCGGTGATAAGGATTGTAGGTCGTCCGGCCTGAGTTTATCCTCGTAGCTGAGTTTCCCTATGAGGACCCTAATTCTCCTTGAAATCGTTCACTGATTGGGGTGATAGTAAAGTTTTTAATCTTTACTTTTAACAAACAAGTGAATAATATTCATTCACTGAATATCAAGTATTGATAACATAAACATTCAAATGCAAACATGTTCACTTACCGCCACACGGTAAAATTATCATGTGGTCTACATCTTACTGATTCGTGTTATCCCACCCACAAAAGTAGACGTCTGACTATCATTGTATAGGCATTTAGCGTAAATTTGACCTAACTGTTCGACATTGAATTTTACTGTGATAGTTTCGGTCTTAATTATTAATGTGAAGAAGTTCAGACAATATAGTATCTGAAATATCGGATTTATTTTGATTTTACCCACTAATATTATTTCAAACATAATAGTTGTGAATATTATATATTATCCTAATGTTTTGTTTTCGTCTGTTGCTCGGAAAAGCGAATAATTTTCGAATTTGCGATACATTCTGCGATTGCTTGCTGATTAATAGTTGACAACAGGCTGATATCCACCTAATGTTTTGAGCTCCACACAACTTTTGTGTGGCTCGTTGAAATCCCGTTTTGTTTGACGATAATCGGCGTTAATACACATACACAGATGACTAGGTACAAAGTAGTGAGTATGACAGTGTGGACCACAACAAATTCCTTCTATTGTCGCCGACTGGTTTTCTGTGTTCAATCATACAACAAGCAACCTCATATATGTGACAATCGTTCACCTCTAATCGCCTTTTTTGCACTGACTTTCCGAACCAATTCACTTATTCACATTGTCCAATATGACTTGTAAGAGAGTTTCTCACCCTAAACACGGTATACTTGAATTCATTTCATCATTACAAACTATTACGAAGCCGGTTTGGAATGTCAGGTTTCAGCTTCATGAGTTCCTAACTTCTAGCGTATTAAGATAAACATCAATGTCGCGTATTACTTCAGCCAGACAGCGATGAATGAATGGTATCGGTCGGCAATATCGAAAGCCCGAAACGTGATTTCATTTGAAATTGTTTCGGAATTAAATCAAATGAACTTGAATACCTCACACAAGTAAAATAAACCATTAGAATGCTTTCAGTCGCCCTTGTCACATATAAGTAATTCAAATAAACAACGCCAAAAATTTCATCACAATACATGACGTTGGCCTACTACAGAAGCGATGTCTACACGCGCCCAGTGATAAGTTGTCACCCATCTTACAGAACCACCTCTTACAGCCATCACATGGCATGCCATCTTCAATAAGGCAGACATAATTGTCATCATCGTCAACCGTAAGCAATCATTTTATCTAGTATGCTATATATAAAAAATTAAGGAGATGTGAATAGCAAAAAGCATAAATATGGAAACGTTACAACATAACCTCCTTTAAAGTCATGAACTGATCAATAGCAGACCACCATTAAAAGTCTGTGGGCACTGAGCAACCGTTTCGTCAAAGGTAGGACTCATCAGCGGTGCTCATTCACGACTATTCACGCAGGACTCGAATCGATGTAATATGACCGCGCGCGATCTCTAAGCCTCTAGACCACTGAGCACAACTTCAATTAATCCTCTATATTGTAGCATTCTCGAACTTTCCAGAATCCCAAGGCTAGTTAAAACGCCATAAGCACTTTTTCATTTGTCCATAACTAACTAATCAAATCGTTGTGTTGAGCGCCCACCACGATGATCTGTTCTGATGTGTCTGTAAACTATCCCTGTTGCATGTGACCTACGAATTGAAAGACACTATTATCCTATTATATTAGTGTGACGCATAATTTTATTCTTTTTCAATAAGACACGCAATACTGATCGGTATGTTTGTTCGTTCCACGTAATAACTGTAATTCCCTCAATTATTGTACTAATCTAATTGTTTTTACGTTTAGAAACAGATAAAATTTAAATCCGAGTTTTTCTTATTTTGGCTATAGCTTTCACATAGACTCTCTGATCGCCAGTATCGCGTTTACGATTCTATTATTATATATGAAAGACAAATTAAATCTTACGAGTACAACAGATTTTCTGTGCATAAACTAATCTTGGGGTAAAGCGTTCTCCCGGCTGCAATTAAACGCAACTCAATTTCGTAAATGTGCCCTTAATCTTAGCAACCAATCAAAATGAGGCGGGAATTATTACATCCGCCATCTTTGTAAGCAATGACGGTCGGCTTTCTTCGTTCTATGCTTCTTTCAGCTATTTCTTTTGTGTACCTATGTAATTTAATGTCTCAGTGTGCTAAAATGCCGCAGTTAGTGTAATGTTTTATATGTTGGTGTGAAGTTTATTTCGAATCAGCGATGTTTCCTGGGTTTTTGCTGCTTTTACTCGAGTTAATGTATTTCTTCGGGCAATCTGACTAGTCTTGTGTTATAAAATGTCGGCCGGCTTTCTTCGTTCTGTGATTTTTCCGCTATTTCTTTTGTGTAACTACAGAATTTAATGTTTCAGTGTGCTAAAATCCAGAAGTTAGTGTAATACTCTAAACGTTGGAGCAAAACTTTTTCCTGATTTCGCTTTGTTTTCTGGGTTTTATCTGCTGCTAATGAAGTCACTGTATTTATTTAGCTAAGCTGGCTAGTACTAACATAAGGCCTTACGTTTTTAAATGACAATCGGTTATGTTTTACCTTGTTTTCTAGATATCCAAAGCCCAAGTTCGTTTTTATTTAGCTAAAATAATTGTTGCTGCCGCCTGTGACTCTAACTGTTCGCATGTTCGTTCCTAACTGTCTTTTAAGATGTTATCGGCAAAATGAAAGGAAACAATCTGCGTTTTTCAATTTTCAGTTTTATGGACAACCCTATCCCACCAACGAGTCAAACTAATACAGAGTGCCCATCAGTAGGGTATATCGGTATTGATTTTGAAAGGACCCAGACTTCCGACAACTATAGATGAAGTCATAGATGCTACCAATCTATTGCAGAGGGTTTGTTATGAAAAATATGCCATATAGCAGCAATAGAAGGGTTGTACTCATTACTCAGTGCGTTAAAGCAAGCTTAACATTGAAAAGCCGGAAATCTGCTACCAGCGTGTAGTGTGTGGCCAGCCCATTTGGCCACTGTATCATTTGTCTATTCATTGTAACTCAGACTCTTAATTCACTATGTTAATTTCGGTGTGTATGATCGAATGCATGTCTGTCAGCTGTTGGATATCTCCTCTTGATAATATATCCGACAGGACGTTTATCAGCACCAGCGACATCAGGAGTTTCTGATCCCGTTTGCGATCATTCGGTTACCCGTCAAACATCACATTCGTCATCAGCTGGTGTTTCAAGTGTATCGCAACAACGATCAACTGACTCATCAGAATTTAACCATATAAAACCGTCCAAACCCCCAGCAGAGCAAGTACCATACAAACTACCTGCAACAAGCAACACTTCAAATCAAATTTCAGCAGCAGCACAAACTACAACAAGATCAGGAAGAAGAGTACATTGGCCAGATAGGTATGTAGGAACCACTATATTTATCTAGACCAAATCCTGAGACTACTCTTATAACACATAAAAATCCTACTTTCTTTTGATTACTATTTTTCTTATTGGCCCCACGGATCATCATTATGCTTACATTTTAACTTTATACAATTCATTAATCTTAAATATACACTTGTATATACACGATATAAAACGTTTCAACACACAAGCTGTTATTACAGCTTAAAGCTTACTCATCATATTGAGTTGTACATTTATTTAAAAAACAATTCAGCTTTTTGTCTCTTTGTCGAACATGGATGTTAATCCAATTTTTTTTTAGTACATAAAAACATCAATGTTCTGGATGGGAGCTTATATGGCAAGCCCATTTGGCCACTGTATCATTTGTCTATTCATTGTAACTCAGACTCAATTCACTATGTTAATTTCGGTGTGTATGATCGAATGCATGTCTGTACATTAACTCTTAAGCTATCCTCCTATTGGTTTCAGTGTGCAGATAATCGATAATTTATCCACACCCGATTAACTCTCAAAAATATATATGGATTTTAAACACACACACTCACTCTGTTTCATCGTGTGCTTGCTCGCCGTACGCTCGTGGATTTTTATTAATCATTAACAATAAATTATCTCTATAAGTGGTGTTCAGGCTTCTCAATAATCTCGAGTAAATCCGTAATTCTACTAGGAGATTAAGCCTACCTTAAATACTCAGTTTACGGGATATTATTTATTGGAGTCAGATATTGAGGACATTAGCCTCAACAAGTGTATGTTTGCTGTTTTGGCCATAAAAGGAAGCCGAAGTGTCATGATCAGGGAGTAAAAAGGTAATTAACTGTTATTAAGCTCACTTTTTTATAGATCATATTTCACCACCCGCAAATTTGTGTTTTCTTACGGTATGATGTCAACTGGTATCTAATATGTTCACCCTTACGATAAAAAGTACCTGCAAATTTTCACCTTCATATTCGAATTATTTTTGGACAACTGTCTTACAGTCTGAGTGCTTCGTACGCCCCGAGAAACTTTACTTCTACAACATTCGTAGTTCCAATATAACTTTCTCACGCAGTAAGTTCAAATTAGACACTAGTCTTTCTAAATAAGCCTGTTAAGCTAATATCCGTATTCTCTATTTGAGTTAATCGATGAAGACATGTACCACGTGCATCTGCTGTATACTGCCATTTTGCTCCAATTTTAACTGTTATATCTTACTTTTGAACAAAATACAGAATTATTTGTTTTGATGGAGGTAGGGGGGTCCATGGGATTTTCAGCAGGACCGTATTAATATTCTCACTAAAGAGCTAAGCGAGTACGTAAACCAGTGTAAGGTGCCATACGGGGTGCATTTGAGTTACTAGTGTTGCATTAGTGCGGGTAGGGGCATGGCTTGCTTGTCATATGGCATTTGAATTAG